CTCATCTGTTTGCCAGGATCAATCTTCTGGGACATCTCCGCAGCACATGGAGACATCTCGTGGGCAATGACTAAACTGCATACAAACATGTCATGCTTTTTGATGTGTGTGAGGAAAAAAATGATAGAGCATGAAAAGGAAACCAGCAATGATCTGTTTGTGCACCATTTCAGAAATGTATGCATTTTATTTGCTTTAGCTTAGGACTTGTTTCTAGTGAAAAATATTGCAGAAGAAAAGTAATCTGGTCCAAGAAGGACTGGAAACTGTTTAGCTGGGAGCATCTTAATATTTCCAAGGCATGTGTTGCCCATGTTATCTGTTTCTTGGAGAACTTAACTGCATTAGCCACCTTTCTTCCTATTTCAAAGGATATTTTAAAGTTTTATCCCTTCAGAACATTTATTATTCATTTTAGCCCCAGAAAATGAAATCTGTTTTACTTATCTGTAGCCATGACCATAAATATAACATTGCGCCAGTGAGTATTTGGAGCCAGCACTGCTGGGTTCCTGCAACACAGAACCTGCCAGCATCCTCTGGATCATGGTCAGCACACAGGAACTCCTGGTATCAAGCACATTGAATAAGGTTTTTGGAGTATCTTGTACAAAATAAATAGAGCATTCTGGGTCTGCAGTAGTGCATTTCCCATCTGTTTTATGAGGATGCATGGGCAGATACTGCTGCTGACTTTGTGCTGGGTTATGGTTCATGTGCACGTTTGTGACTGTCTACTCTACAGACTTTGTAAAAAGCAGTAAAAATGATGATTGGGTTTTGTACCTCTTGAAGCTGACTAATGCCCTTTCTAGGAAGCAGTGCGTTACAGTGAAGGCTTAGGGTGGCTTTTGAATCCATGCATTTTGTAGAGTGACAAACCAGACATTCCTGGAGACCACTTTAAAGGCTTTTGTTTGGCTCATTGGGCATTTCCACCTATTCAGAAAATAGGGCAGCTCCAGTTCTTGACTGTTTTATCAGATTTCCTGATCTCCTGCTGCACATGAACTCGGAGTTTTCCAACACTTTCTTTATGATTAGGTAATAGAGGCCTCAGGTTCCCATCCCTTTTACCCATGCAGGAGGAAGCACTGGATGTACCCAGTGGTAATGGCATGGGTAATTCCCAGATGAGCTGCTGGGGAAGGCAGCTGGTGCTTTGTCTCACCAGCAGTGCTAAATATAGCCCAAGTCTGAGCCCTCCTGGAGCCTCGCTAGTGGAGCCTGCCCTGGCCAACATGCAGAGCTGCTGTCTGCCCCAGCAGCTCTGTGCTGTGGGGCAAACCAGGCACCAGGTTTTTCTAAGAAGCCAGTTAAGGCACTGAATTAGTACTGACATGGAGGTGACATTCCTTCTCTTTTCCTCTATCCCTGGCTCCATTTGGGTCTTTGTGTTTGTACCACGACAGAAGGGAGCAGCAACTCGATGCCCTTTGAAAGAGGGTGGTCCTGTAGATTATACCAAAACTGATCAAATATGGTTTTAATTTGCACTTGTTGTGAGCCCTGTGGTTCAGTCAAGGATGCTGCTTAGGCACTGGGAGGTGCTGTGTTTTGGAAAGGTGCCCTTGGGTTCTGTAGCCCCGAAGTGGTGTGTCCTGGCTTGTCTGGTTCTTTCCAGCATCCGGGCAGCTTTATGGATGCCCTAAAACAGAGCAGTAAGCCATGGAAAACTCAGCACGGGCCAAGATTAGAAAATCCACATCCTCTGCATTGTTTGCAGTGTTAATTCTGGTAAATTATAGTGCTGCAGTTTGTAATTTACCTGGGAGATGGATTCAATTAAATTGGAAAAGAGCTAATTTAAAAGTGAAGGTATTTTACTTTCTGTGCAAGGTAAAAGGGCCTGTGGAGTTCCCTGCCTACCAGATACATTTAAGGCTTAAAGCATGCTGTGCCCCATAAAGCAATAAATAATTGCACAAATAACTGGTAGAACTAGAATTATAATAGATCTTGGAAGAAAACCTCCAAAACTTTTGGAAAGGTTAAAGCCTTAAAGGCATCAGCTAGTCATGAAGACTGTGCAGGGACCAAGAAAAGCCAGGTTTGTGTTGGTTTTTTTGCACCTTTCCCTGAAGGTTCTGGTGTCTCTTGAAGACTGATTGGATTCATCCTGCTGGCTGACCTACAGACAGTGGTGTTGGCTTGTTTCATGATTAAATATGTTTGGGGTAGTTCTGCTTAAGGAAAAACTGTCTTGTGTCAGGACTGAAGAAGGTGAGGAATTACCTCGTGGAGCTTGTTCAGGGTTGCTGGGGCATGGCCGCTCCTCTTCTACATTGCTGTTCTAAAGAAGGGAGGGCAACTTGGTGGTGGACTTGCTTTGCCAGCGCAGGTAGGGCTGAATTTGGCCTGCTGCAGATGGCTCAGTCTAGTTCTTGGTTTTTCGCTCCCTAATGATCAGGTTCAATTTGTCTATATGCTGCTCGTGCTCCTTGGCAGAGAAACCCATCAGGCTGTGCCGTGGGGGGTCGGATGGGCTCACTGGCGGGGAAGGCAGCAGTTAGGAGCTCTGCAACGGCAGCAGTAAAGCAGTTTGCTTATTAAATTGTATCATCCTCTGTGCACTGCCTTGTTTTCGTAGATGTGTGACGATTGCCAAGCTGTTTGTGGTTAAACAATGCAGACTCTCATAATCCTGCTCCTCATCTCGCCTAATTAGGGGCCTGGTCATGCTGGAGCTTTGCCCAAGTGAGGACTTGAGGGGCAGTTGTTCGTTCTGGTGCGATGCCAGGGCTGCATGTCCGTGATACTGCTGTTTCCTTTGAAATCAATTGAGATGTCACCATCACTTGATCCTGGAGCTACTTAATGAGCTGGCAAAATGGGCTCTATTTTTAGATCTCCCTTCAAAACTACTGTGCATGTTAAAGCTCCCCTTGTCCTTAATGCTGGGATGGTGTTGGGCAGGATTTATTGGTTTAGCTTAATAAGAGCCGTACAGAACTGAAATAATAAGCTCCATATCCTTGAAAGTGAGGAAAATTAAAATGGCATGGTTAAATCCGGGCAGCCGCCTCAAGACAGTAAAGTGATATGTGCACGTGTGGCCAGAAGGATAAGGTGGAGCTGGATTTTTCTTCTTGTCTAAGTTATGAGAGAGCCAAAGATTACAGACATACGACTTAGGGGACTTCTTGTGAGCTTTGTGGATTCAGTTTCTAAGTGTTTTCTGAATAGGATAAAACTTGGTGGTTTGTTAGACAAGTTCAACTTCATGAATATGTACTTCACCAGAAGTGCTGGAGTGTCTTCCCCTGCAAGTTTATAATTAATGACAGAAAACTATTTTTCTTAAGGTAGGAAATTCACACAGACATAGGTAATCTGTATGCTTTTGCTTGTTACTGTAGTCTGAAGCCAAGTTAGATAAAACAGTTTCAGGAAGCTGCTCAAATTGCCATGCAACTTTCCCTTGTATTGGTGCTTGTGCACACATACCCTTCTGTGACTTGTATGTGGGCTTTGGGGGTCTGCTCTGTGGAGGCTCAAAGCTTCCAGAATTGTACAGGAGTGAAGTGAGGGAATGGAGTGAGTGGCAGTTTCCCTGGTTTTCCCTCTCACCCCACTAGATGGAAATGCATATGTGTGCTTTGCTTCTGTTGCACAATCAAAATAAATAGAAGCTAAGAAAGGTACAGACCAAACCCTGTGTAGTAGAAGCACAAGATGTACTGCATGGGTAACCCTTTAGCCTTGGCTTGGGGTGGAAGCTGGCTGTGGCAGTGGTGATTTCAGCATCTCTTTTCACACTGCTGCAAACATTTTTTTCTGCATGCTCTGGAGTGGAGGAAGTGGTCCAGCTTTGGACTGGGAGTTGTGTGATCTCATCAGGTGTTAACTGTCTGTGTCCACACGTGCTGCAGAAATGAAGCAGCTCTATAGCTCCAGACCTGAGCTGGGTTGTGCTCAGCTCCAGAAAAGTCAGACTGGACCCATCCGTGTCTCTTAGGGTAGTTAACCAGCATGCTGACAAAACTTTGGTGAGGCATTCCTCTCATTTTAATTCATCCCCATGCTGCAATTATTTCTCCACCACAGAGTTAACAACGCCCGTGGGTACTGATTGTTTTGCACACCTCTAAAACTAGTAGTTGCATGACTTTTGTGTGATCATGCAAGTGGTTTTTACCTTTCTGCAAGGGAAGCCTTTCACTTAATGAAGGCTATTTTTGAGTGTCAGGGATTGCTATGTGCACATCTAGGAAAATGCAACTGCTGTAGCTTGGTAAAGGAAGAAGCAAGTGGAAAGGAGGCCATCGGGGTCTTCCACAACACATGGGCTGGGGGAGAGTGTTTTCAGGCTTTGCACATGGGCAGCTCTGTTCATCCCTGATTGTGTGGGAGCGTGTGCTCATGCTGCTGTATATTGTCACCTTGTACTGTCACCGGCATCTAGGCAAACATGGCAGGTGAACAGCCTTGTCCTGTCTCAGTGCATTTACTCAGGATGGCAGGTTTGCGATTCCATGTTTAAGTTGAGCACTTCGAGGCTTTTAAGTGATTAGTTCTATATTCTTCATAACTTTCTGCTAAATTAGTTTTTCATCCATTATGCATTTCCATTCAACTCTGGACACTAACAATAAATTTTTAGAAGTGGTTTTCTCTATAAAGATGTGATAACTTTGGAAGCTTCCTGAGTGAAACAAACTGCAATAAAAGCTGCATTAAAATTTTGTTAAAAGGCCTGTGGAAGCACCTGAACAAGGTACCATGGATGTTGGAAGAGTTCTGGGGGCATTAGTGTGGTACCTTGCAGAGAATCCCTGGAAACACTGTACCTGTACCCATCAGTAAGTTTTGCAATAATGTCCAAAGGCATTGCTGAAAACTACTTACAGAAATGTGTGGTGGCTTCATAGAATGACACATTTTGGAAAAAAAAGATGATGTGAAGTCGAATTTTCTGTCCTTCAGTAAAAATGAGAGGAATTCCCGCAACTTCTCTGGTTTATAAGTAGATAATTATTTTTTTTAAAAAACTTTTTTAGGTAATGGGAACTGAGAAGTCTCAAGATGCAGCTTGTGCAGAAGTGTCCAAAGGAAACAACCAGAGTCCAACTCTGGGAAGTGGCATACTGAAATACAGAAGTCGATCACAAGGTAAAGCTGGGTTGATAGAAGATAGCAAAAGAAGAATTTTTTATGTTGTATATTTATTTTAGCTCTCTAAAAGTGAGATAGGATTTCTTCCCTTTGAGATCATATTAGTTTAATTTGGAAAGAAAATCCCAGCTGTAAGATGTTTGCATTTGGCCCCCTGAGTTGAAGTATTGTATGGACAGAAAGATGAAGCAAAATTGTGGAAGCTTCTATGTTTTGTTTTGGTTTGGTTTGTTGTTGTTGTTGTTGTTCTCTCTGTTTAATATTCCCTGTGTAATATTCATAGTGTGCTGTGATTCTGAGGTGGGAACATGTTTCAACATACCATCACCAAAATACCCATGATGATGAATACTGCCCCAAATTTTCTATTGCTTTGTCCCCAGGTCTTAACAATACCTGTGTGCAGAGCTTGGTCACGTTCTCATCCCTAATACATTCTAAGTCTCCCTCCATCCTGTGTTCACCTTAGGTCGTAGTTACACAGGTATTTTTAGCAACCTCTAGGGAGCTCCTCTGCCTGCATCCACTGTGGATGTGTGTTGGTGGCTTTCTGGGGATCCAGTCCCGTTCTCATGAGCGCTGATTCCCCTGGGCTGTGGGGGAGCCTGCAGCATACCCCAGCCTGGTCCCAGGCCTGGGCTGCAGCATGGGAAGGGACACTACATTCAGAAATGAGCAGCAAACACAGAAATACAGCTATTCTTCTACAAAAAGAGAAGGAGAGTTGGCAGGAAAGGATTAGCTGTAGGTGCCAGGTCCTGACAGAGGAGCTGTCCTGGCTGTGTGCAGCAGCAGCAGTGCCCTGTGTGCCCAGGGAAGGGGAGCTTTAACATCAGAGGTAATTTCACACCCCAAAGCAGAGAGCGGGTTTAAGTTGCACTCTGGGCAGTGGGTACAAATTCTCGCTGTGGATTACGTGGCAGCAGAATTGCTTTAATGCTGAGTGAAAACAAGCAACTGCACCAGCTCTGTGCACCATCCTTCCCTGGCAGTGATGCATACAGAGCCTCAAAGTGATGGGGAAGTGGCAGAAAACAGATTTGGGGCTCTCCTGGGCAAATTTGCAGTGTGTCTACCTCCGCCCATGGCTTGTGAGCCCCATAGAATCACAGATTGCTTTGAGTTGGATCTGCAGAGTAAGGACAGGGCAGTGAGGGTGAAGGAAAAGCAGAGCTGTCCCTTCCTGTGCCAGCTACAGCTTAATGTTGATTTCAAGTAATCTTAAAACCATATCATGAAATCCAGCTTGCACGAGTTTGGTCTCTCTGTGTCTTGGGTTTTCATATGTAAAGTAGGGGTTAATGGCCCTCTCCTTCCAGGTGGGGAAATGGCAAGGATAAGTGTTCAGGAACTGCTGTGACTGGGGGTCCTGTGAGGTCCTTGGAGAAAATGAGAATTGGAGGAGCCCTGGTGTGAGGAGTGCGGTGCTCTGTGGCTAATTACAGGATGTCCTTCAAGACAAATAATTCTGTTTCCTACATCAACTCTGCACTCTTGTCTTTAAGACAACGAGGAACATTGCCAGAAGGAAAGAAAATAGCATTTATTTGGCACATTTTTTCTTTTTCCATTCCAGAAAAATTTCCCTCAAAGTGACATGACACCTTCAGAAATGGATACTGCTACAGTGTCAGGTCTTTTAATTTTAAATAAATGAAGCTTGAGAGCTTAGTGCACTGGCAAGTGCCGTTGGGTGAGAACAGCTGAATTTCTTTTCTGTCCCTGAGCTACCGGCTCAATTATCTTCTGCTTTTCCTTACTACCACAAGCGACAGCACTGAGGTGTTCAGCATCACTGAAAGATTGTAGGAAACCTGTGACAGCAGGATAAGTTTTTAGTTGAGGATGATCAAAACTAGTGTCTCAGCTGCCCATCTGGGAACTGCATAGTGTTGTTTTAAGGCACTGTTTAAGTGGAGATTTGCAGGAGGTGGTTATTACGTGCTGGCGAGAGGATCAAGCAGTTCTGAGGTGTTTGTGGGATGCATTTCTGTGGTTTTTCTGTAGGTGCCGGATCCCGCCTGGAGTCCGTGGGAGAAGACGATGAGCTGACAGTGGAAAACGGTGAATCGAATTACGAGATAGCGGTGAAGTATTCCCGGGGTGGAAGAAAGCACTCTCTGCCCCAGCAGCTGGAGTCAGCAGGAGCCAGGCAGGTGGGTGGAAAAGCAGGGCTGGTTCTCAGCACCTCGCCCGGCTTGGTCCTTCTGGATCTGTCTGGAGCTCACAGAAGTGGGGGTAGTGAAACAAGGGCATGGAGGCTCATCACGGGCACTTAGAAGAGATCTGGGCACCAAAACAGGATGTACTGGCCACCTTTGAGGAACTTTTTTACCCTGAGGACAGTGAAGGGGGGGGGGGTACTTCTTACTGTGGCCAGAAGATCCTAAGGCTTATCTTACGAGTGCAGTTCTAGAGATCTGAGGGCTTAAACAAAAAAAAATCCTGTTTCTCTTTATTGTAACAATTTGATGATGTAGGCTTTTTTCTTCCTATCTTTTTTCGTTTTCTTTTTTTTTTATCCTTCATTTTTAGCAGATAAGGACTTCAGTATATCATGAGGCTACGCTTAATCTTTTTAATTTAAATTGTGACTAGTGCATTACAAAATGACCCTACTGTGCCAAATGTGGGAAAATTACTGTGGCAAGATTCACTTTAACTGTAATGAGCTACGATTTCATCCCTTGAACTTTTTTCTGAATATATCTGTTAAAATTCCCCCCCCCCAAAACCAAACCAAACCAAAAAAAAAACAACAAAAAAACCAAACCCCACAATTTTACTGTTATGACACCCCAGTGCCTGTGCCAAGCAGTCACAGCAACTTTCCATGTTTGTTGATGTTTGTTAGGACTACCATATTGTGAAGAAATCTACTCGTTCCTTCAGTGCTGCCCAAGTGGAATCTCCATGGAGACTGACCCAGCCGTCCATCATTTCCAACATCGTCCTGATGAAAGGGCAAGGCAAGGTGAGGATTTCCACGTGTGATTTCTCACATGTAGGAAGAACTGGTATTTAAGAGGTGTCTCACATACCCAGGACTTCCATCAGCTCTCAGTGTATCCAGTAATAACAATAAGCCAAATAACAATAAATAAATCCCATTTTCAAATGTAAATGCCAAAGTTACACCTGCAAAATACCGTGGAAGCATGTTTGTGTCATGTACTTAACACAGGGAGGATTTCATTCTGATTTGGTGCATCTGGTCATTACTGAGATATGAAATATTAATAGTGGATCTCTAAATATGTATGTTTGTGCAGAGCTGGTGCAGCTACAGAAGGATACCTGCTTGCATGCATATTTACGGGCAAGAATATTTTGTCGCTCTGGAATGTGATGCATTTAAAAAAAAAAAAAAAAAGAAGCACTGCAAATTAAGCGTTAAACCTAAAGCCAAGTTCCTAGTTGATTGCTTATCTGGGAGCACTGAATTCTCTGGGTCAGAGAGTCCTCTTTTCTCCTCCCAATAATGTGTTTGCACATTTACTAGACACCAGCTGGCTGAATGCTAAGGGCAAATAGACAAGCATTAACCTAGGTGTATATTGTTTTCCCTAATCCAGTCCACACTAGTATTGGAACTGCCATTTAAACGTGCTACAAATACATGTCTTTTTCTGAAATACTCTTTAAATTCAGCAGATGGATATGTGTTGGACTAAAAAGACTTATTTTGACTTTCAAACTCAAATACAAAACAAATTCCTTATTGTGCTTTATGTTTAGCAAAGAGAAATAGTGACTTCTCTGGGTGTAGATTGACTCACAGTTGGTACAACTCTCCTTGTTTTGTGAGTTTCAGGTGTTTCATGACATTTCCGAGCAAAGGCTTCTTCATTTTTCACATACCGGCATTTTTGGACCCTGTGTTTTTCCTAGGAAGTAGATTATTTTTCCCTGTGGGATAAGCCATCCTCTCCTGCCTTTCTGCAGTTCGGTCCAAGCTGTTAGGAGGCAGTTGGGAGCATGCAGACTGTGGTTATCGTGCACCACCTCAAACAGCTGCCATTTTGGGTGACTTCCGCCCACCTTTTGACCGATCACCTCTGTTAGGGGTTGCACTGGTACGATTTGTGCAGTACCACGTGCGTCCTTTATTATCTCTACACAGATCTGGGGCTTGGAAAGTATTTCCACAGACTCACTGTGTTGGTGGCTGGGAACCAAGTATTTGCCCTTGGTTTTTCATTGGTAGGTGGATCTGCAAGGGATGATTTTCTTCTGTGGAGGTGGCAGAGCTTCTCTGGAAAGGTGGGCTAGTGTGGGAACTGCTGTGCTTCGCATCCATATTTCTCCCAAACCACCCATGGAACCATGGGGACAACTGCTGTGTCTGTGCCAGGAAGTGTCAGGAGCATCATGCTTTCTGTAGGATGCTTTGCAGCTGATAATTGCACAGTAACCACTTAGTTATTTTGTGTTTCACAGGGGAGCTAGGATGCTTCCTTTCTAGAAATCATTAATGTCTTGTCAAATTACTAGAAGCTCATAACTGGGGTAGTCTACTCTAAATTCACAGAGTAAAACAGAAGAGCTGGTTGTTGTATTGGGTTGTAAACACAGCGTTAGAGCCTGCCCTGGCAGCATCCCTCAGCTGGAGAGCACTGCCCGAGGCGCTAATAATAACCGTGGCTTCAGATCACTGAAGCACAACAGCTTTCCACTTCCCCTGTCCACCTGATCAGTGACTTTTCTCTTTATTCTGTAAAATGCATGTACAGCAGTGACAAGAGGAGGCATGTGGGGGGGGAAGGGGGAGTGGATCAAGGAAGTGATTTGGCTGGGAAAGAAGTCAGCAGAAGGGGGAGAGGTTCATTCTGCTGTACTCATCTCTTCTCTGATTAGCTTTGCAAAACAGTCCTGCAGCCAACTGGGGCAGCACAGGGGCAAGAGCTAACAGATGGAGCCCTGGGGAATGTATTGATCTAGATTTATTTAAATACAACGTGGTACATGTCTGCAGAATAATTAAAAATGTACATGTGCATGGCAGCCCCCCCACGCCAGCCCCTTTCCAGCTACATTCCTGACATTACAGCACTGACCTTAAGTTGTGTTCTTAAGCTTTTCTTTTTCCTGAGGAAATGCAGGATCTGTGACAGCAGAGAAAACTACAGTTAATCCTGGATATAGATCTCAGGCATGGGAATCTACTGTCTGTCAATTTAAAAGAAATGTGTTACAGTTTTTAAAATGGGAATAGGAGAATATAAAGCTGTGCTAAAAAAAAAGTAATCTTGAAATAGCATTTTTGCTATTTCAGCTTAAGGTGCCTGCTGCTAATTTTTGGGCTGATAAATGTGTTGATAGTAGAGTGAAAGTAAATGATGAAATGCAAGCAGAGGGAAAGATGGCTATGCAATTCATCAGAAGCTTTTAGGTTTTCATCTTTCCTTTGTCTTGTATGTTATTGGCAGTCCTCCTCACACAGGTGGTAATAGAATAATGTGCCAGCTCTGTGTCTTCTCCTCCCTTTTCTGTAGGGCCTTGGATTCAGCATTGTGGGAGGTCAGGATTCTGCTCGTGGACGCATGGGGATTTTTGTCAAGACTATATTTCCAAATGGAGCAGCGGCTGCTGATGGAAGACTTAAAGAAGGTATGGTAGAGAGAATCCAATTTCATATAAAAGGACCGCAGTGGGATATTATTTCAGTCCAGGATTAAAAATTGAAGTATAGCTTTATTTAGGCACCTGTCCATCAGCAAAAGGCTGGGGAGGATGTAACACACCCTGTTTGTCCATCCGGGCGAAGAACATTCATAGCAGTTAACTTGTTTGTATTTCATCTTAAGAAGGGGAAACAAAAGCATGATGATTTTTTTTTTTTTCTCCTTCCTCTTCAGTGAACTTTATTTGCGCAAGCCATAAGCTGCAATTCTTCAGTTGATGAGAGTCATTGATAGCAGTGAAACATATCTATCCAAGCAACATCCAGCTTAAAGATGCTAGTATGACCCCAAGAAGGGGTTATGCATTGGGAGAGGCTGTTTTGGGCCCTTGTGCTCTCTGAGCTTCTTGGTATGATTTTGACATGAATCAACAAGTAAGAATCATAACCAGAAAAAGAAGAGGAAGGATGGGATTGGCAGTAAGATCACTCAGATGGTTAAAGAAGCAGATATATCCTGATTTTATTACAGGTTTTCCAGTCTAGATCTGTGAGCTGGACATACAGCCTGCTTCGTGTGTGTTTGCATGCTGTTCTGAGTGCTGTGCTAGACAGGTTGACTCTAAAGCAGTGTTGAAAAAGTGACCGTGAGTTTAGAGCAGTGGTTTATAACTGTTCTGCAGGGGTTGTGTTACTTCTCTTCCACTGAAAGCTGCTCCTGTGTTACTTCTCTCAAGCTGCTCCTGTGTTACTTCTCCCTGTTTCATATCATCATTCTCCTCTTTACATGTCATCACACTTGTTGTATTTGAGGCTGCTTTCGGTGCCAACTCAACACTTGCTGCCAGAGGGAAGCTTGTGTCCCTGCAGCATAGGTTGTGCACTTGCCATGGGAAGCCAATAAGTAGCAGCTGTCCCATAAAACCAACAAGCCTTTGCAAACTATTCAGAGCTTGCATGCTCCTTTTTCTGTGTGTTTTTGTTTTTTTTTTTTTTTTTTTACATTGTTTTTTTTTGTTTTTTTTTTTTTTTTTTTAAATTGTTTTTGTTTGTTTGTTTGTTTTTGGTTTTTTTCTGGGGCTAGGATTGGAGAGGAGGGACAGACTTGGCTGATGATGTCATCCCATCTAATTTTGCAAAGATGCAAGTAAAATTGCAGAATGTAGATCTGGATCATTCTGACCCTTCTTTTTAATAAAATGAAGGTAGATGAAAACAGCTGGGTGCAAGTATTAAGACCCAGAGCCTAAGAAGGAGGTAGAAAAGTGACAAGATGTGTTCTTTGGGATGAGAAGGGCATTTGCTATCACAGTGTGTGAGCTACAGGCTTCTCCATCCACAGGCATTTAATAAGAGGACACGTTTGCTTCCTGCACGTGGAGGCAAGGTTGGTTTTCTCTGAGCATGCTTTGGCGTGATGTGCTGTAGTGTTTCAGTCAGATTCTCATTTCCCCTGTTGACGCTCAAAAAAGAAAGGGAGTTTTATAGTCCCTTTGGATTTCATGTTATGAGCATCTATTTTCAGACTTAAGTTAAAATTTGTGGTGTTTTCAGCTTATTTGTTAGTATGAGAATGCCAAGTTAAGGATCTCTGCTGAAGACCAGTCTTCTGCTAATGCTTTACTATTAACTTGTAAAGGCATTAGGACAAGCGAAAATAAACTGGAACAGTTAAAAGGCTTTTTACTGAGTAGTTAAGTGGAATCCTTATAGTAGTGAGTTACCTTATGTACAGGAAAGTTATAGTCTGTATACTACTGACTTAGGTTTTTTTGTATCTAATTGCCAGGAGATGAAATCCTAGAAGTTAATGGAGAGTCTCTACAAGGACTGACCCATCAGGAGGCCATTCAGAGGTTTAAGGTAATATGGGTATAGGTCAGGACAGATTCACCCTCCTCTTCTTTCAGTGCCATATTGTACCTTTGGGTTTATATTCTTTTGCTTCCACAAATCGCTGTATGCAGATTTGCTGGCAAATGTGGGTGCATCCTGTCACCTTACTGGGGTTCTCTGATGTCTCACCAGCAACTGAAGAAAGGCGTGGTGACCCTGACGGTGCGCACGCGGCTGCGCAGCCCCAGCCTCACACCCTGTGTGACTCCCACCTTACTGAGCCGCTCCAGCTCCCCCAGCTCCAGCGCCAGCGGGGGCATGCCAGTCCCCGGCCCCGACGAGGGGGATGGTTCCTCCTCCAGTCGCAAGGGACCTGGCCCGAAGGACAGAATTGTCATGGACGTGACACTCAATAAAGGTGAGAGGCCGTTGAAATAGCCTTGGAGAATGAATTGCTGCTTCCTAGGTGAGATCTTGGGAAGAGGCTAGAGTTTAGTATTCATGGTACCTAGCTGTGTTCATCTGCTCTTGAACCACAGGACTGGGGAGGAAAACACCTGGTAATGCAAAAACTTTTGAAGACTTCGCCCTTCCACATTTTCCTGCTCCAGCGTCAGTAGACTTAATAGGTAGCAGTCAGTGTCCATGCTGCTGAAAGAGGGAGGCTGTGAGATACTGGGCAGAATGTGAATCAGCAGCCTGGGTCGTCATACCCTTCTTGTAAAGGGCAGCTCTGGGGAAGGCAAAGCTGCACAGAGTGCTTAAAATTACCTAGATGAGCTGGTTGAACTCCTTCCTGAGGGTTGCTCTCATTATCAATAATTACACAAGATAAACTTAGTGCATAAGCTGTATGTGGTGGAACAGATATGCCTATTTTTAAGACTTAAAATATGCTGATTTTGAGGGTTGATGAAAAAATCTGAGAGCAAAGGTAAGATGTCCAGCAGTTTGTACTTTAGGAATGCTGTTAGCTGAAGGAAAGCAAAGGTGAACGTGAACAGAGCTAATTATTGGGCCAGAGGTAACACCTCACCTTTACTCATGCCTCTTTGCTGAGGGATGCCGTGCAGATATTTAACAAAGAGAGCCGTACAGTTGGCAGCATCTTCTGTGTTCACGTTTTCTGCAATAACTTTAAGTGACATCTCTGTTGGATTGTTGCCCCTACTGCTTTGTGACTTGAACCAGATCAGACCTCGGTGCGACATTTCCAGGCATTTCCCACGGCACACAGAAATTTGCTGGGAATGATGGATCTTAGAAAACAGTCAGGATCAGATATTTTCAATCCTGATTTCCACTGTTGGCCTTGGCTTCCTGACTGCCTGCACCTAAGGCCAGCCCTGAAACAATACATGAGTCCTGGTCTCAGATGGGATGTGGGAACACAAACACTTGTGTGTCCTGTGTGATTACAATCTGCTACTTTTCTTTGTACTTCTTGTTTTTCACAGAGCCAGGGGTTGGGCTCGGCATTGGTGCCTGTTGTCTCACGCTGGAAAATAGTTCTCCAGGGATATACATTCACAGCCTGGCCCCAGGATCTGTGGCTAAAATGGATGGCAGATTAAGGTTAGTTAAAGCAGAAACATGCTGGAGTGGTTTTACAGTAAAATCGATTGAGACTTTGTTTTCACCAATTGGTTGATGGAGCAAGGAGGGATTATACTTAAGAATCCACCAAAAAGAAAACATTTAAATAAGGGCATTCCAAAGTGGTATTAAATACCCAGGAAACATTATTCTATGTGCTGGAAGCAACACAATCATTTAAGGTTTGGGTTTGGTTTTTTTTTTTAATTCTCTATACAGAAAGCTGAGCCTAATAGCACCCTTTGAGAAAGGGGATTGGGAAGAAGTGCAGCCTCATGTCTTTTTGTCAGAGCTGCAGCCAGAGACCCCAGATGGGGAGGAAATTCGCAGAGCTCTGCTAAAAGCTCAGTCACCTGAAACTCTCCTAAAAAGAGCTGGGGGAGACATTTTTGCAGCTGCCTGTGCCCATGGCTACAGCAGCTCTTTTCTGCCCCTGTTGTCAGTCTGGCAGGGTTGCTCCAGGCTGACCTGCCCATCTCATTTACTCTGTCATGGAGTTTGGATGTCATTAAGGAACCATAAGAGAGAGAGGCAATCATTCCTAGGGTTCCCTTGTGCTTTTTGTTGGGATACGTGACATAAAGTTATTTGCTGTTCCTTTCCTGAAGGCTTTATTTTTAAAAACCTTTGGAGAAAATCTTGCACCTTTCTGCATTTCCACATAAATGCTGGTGGGCGCTGGGAGCATCGCTCAGGAGGGGAGGCTGCACTGAAGACCCACTGGGACTCTGTGATCCATGCTGAACATGTGGCATGAGCACTGATGCAGAGAGGCAGAGCAAATGCCTCACTTTCACGCGGGTAGAGTGCCTTCTGTTTCCGTGCCTACCATGAAAACTGTGATAGAGCAATTTGATGTTTTGGAATAAGGGAAGAAGATCATTTTATGGTGACATCCTGGCCAAAACCCTTGAAAGTTCATACCATATAGAACTGTCTGTAGGAGGCAGTATTTAGTACTAACTTGCTTTCTTGTAAGCCTCTTCGGAAAAGATTGTGGTGCTGGTTGCATCTGTACGTAACAGCTGTATCATTTATTAGGCTTAAGTGATTGATTGTATCCAGGCATGCTTCCCAGATTTCTAGCTTTCTGCTTTGAGACATTGCTTCTGTTGTCCCATCAGCGGTTTATGGCTCCATAAGCCAAAACTTAAAGGATGGTTTTGATTTTTGAAAAACTCTGTTAATCAAATACTAGTTTTGCAATACTAGGAGAGGTTTGAGTACAGCTCCTCCGTATCTGAGCTTCCCCTCTCAGTTATGTGCCTGTGTAAGTGACTATATTTGTGTAGTTTCTAATAGCTGTGTAAATCTAAATGATGGGCAGAGCAGTGGCACAATTCCAAAATTGATGGGTCACCCTTTGCTTTCCTGAAGGCTGGAATGTGCAGTTGCCATTTTGCTTTTGATGTGTGGACTCACGGTGCAAACTTGTTTACGTTGTCACAAGTAGCCCAATGTAAATCAGCAGTAGTAGATAGTTTGACAGTGTCTTTTTAAAGCAAATGCTTTAGTAATTATGGAGAATGCTTTAATGATATCCCTAGCTGATGATCTTTTCTTTTTGAATAGTTCCAGATGTCTGAGCACCATAAGCAAGAGTTAAGAAACTGGGAAAACAAAACTTAAACAATCTGTTCTTTCCTTTCAGAAGAAGTTATTTTGGTTTTGTTTTTGTTTTTTTTTAATGGGTTCTGTATGTTAATTTGAAGCAAATACAGACTTACTGCACTCAATATTTTCCTGGAGACATTTCATAAACTCATATTTAAATCATGAATTTTGTATCATTGTTTGTGTTAAGTAATTCAATATGACGAGAAGGAACAGCCCATCTGAATCTAATTTTTCGTTTTCTGTACTCAACAAGTATCTGAATGCAGAACTAGAATTTAAGTTTGCTTTCACCCTGATCCAAATGCAGCCATTTTTTTCTGTTGATTTAGTAGGGTTTGTGTCACTGACAGTAAGTGCAGAAGGCATCTCTGGACCTCCCTCCCAAAGTCAACAGGACTTAAAGCATTCACGTCATGGGGAGCAAGAGCAAGACTGGCTTCTTTGAAAGTCAGATCTTTTCCAGACAGTTGTACTTTTGAAAAAGCTTGGCTATCAGTTGAAAGCTCAAGTGTTTTTGTAAAAGGTGGTTGTGATTAACTGGGTCTGTGTCTCTCTGCAGTCGGGGTGACCAGATCCTGGAGGCAGATTCGGTGAGTCTGCGTCACGCAGCATTAAGTGAAGCCTACGCCATCCTGAGCGAATGTGGCCCGGGTCCGGTCAGCCTGATCATTAGTCGGCATCCCAACCCAAAGGTGAGGCAAAAATGTGTTAGTATACCCGGGTTGTTTTCATCTGGCACAGGAATTTCTGTCTTGCTGTTGGGAAAGCAGCAAATGAAGAATACTGGATTTTTCTCTCTATGGCATGTGTTGTGCAAGCAGTCAGGATTGTAACGATGCCTTCCAGTTTTATAAGTTACAGCAATGCTGGACTGACCCTACTGCTTTTCACTTAGTCACCCACTGATCAAATGCAGTTTTCCTGGAACTACTTGAGTGACGCGTTCCCATCTTTCTTGCTACTTGAACCAAGAGGCAGCACAAATACAGCTCAAGTCCTCTTCCTCCTAAAACTGATTTTGCAGTTACTTTGTCCTCAAGTAGAATATAATTTAGGAGCGTAAGTATCAACAGACTGAACTGATCAACTATGGTACAGTAGTAGGAATACAGTTTCTTTAGAAGAGTGAAATCTGTCCAAAGATCAAAGTTTTCCTTCAGGAATTAAAATAAGAATCTGGAATGTACTGCTACTGTGAAGTCTGTGCAAGGGCAATTTGGAAATGAGGCTTTGTTTACAAAGTGAGTATTTTTATGCAATTTAAAAAAATTGGTGATAGAAGATAAAAGCCTTTTAACCAAGCTATGGGGAATAACAGTTTCTTTTATTTCAATATTTCAAAGAATTTCATGAGTGTCCAAAACCTTCCTGTTTAAACAGGAATGAAGCTGTAAAAATATTTGCATAAGTGGGTCCAGAGAGCTCTGACTTTTGAACTCCTAACTACAAGTGGAGGCCTTAATAAATCCATGTCTAGGAGAACTCAGGTTTCTTATTTTATAATTAATAATTTTCTGCTAAATCAAATACACAAACAATAGACAAATAGAGGTCTATTGCACAGAGTTTACTATCACTTCTGTAAGGCCTTGTGCTGGTGAAAAAAGACTGGGGTTCTGTTAAAGGTAAGCATGGAGGGGGTAAGAATTGGGCTTACAGCCTAAGATAACAGTATTTCTGGTGAGCCTGTATGCTGTGCTGAACCAGCATGATGGTTCAATTTGATTTCTTTATTGAGCCATCTAGACTTTTCAGAGAGTCTGTAAGCAGCATGAAATAAAATCTCCATGGAATGAAGACTGCGCTCTCTCCTCTGTCCTTCATATTGCTGTGGTGGTGGCTTGAGAGCTGATGAGTGACCTAACCAGGTATCTGCTGAGAAGATGAACTGAGCTAAGCTAATTGCTTACTATGACTCAGTAAAGAGGGAAACTATTAAGTGGCTCCTATTACGGTTTTCCATAAGTGATACTTAAAATGACAACAAATCCTTTGCCAAGAAATGCTAAGAAAAGCTAGAAGTTGAGCTGGATACACCCTAAAGCATTTTTATCTCTCAGGCATTACTGAATCTACAATCCTTCATATCTGGATCTCTGAAGGAGTGTCTATGTGGAGACCCATATCCATCATTATGTCACTGTAGCTGTTTTTCTGGCAGCAGTGGGGAAACTACAGAAGTGTGGGGGGTATTTTTTTTATTTTATTTTATTAATACCCCAGTTTGCAGATTGTAGTTAGGAATTGGCTGATCCCTCTCCAGTTTGATTTGCCTGAGGCACCGTGGATGCTAAAAATCAAAATTGGCAGAGCTTGCAGAAGTGTGGATTTTTGGTTAGCTTTAAACAAATAACTGCCGTCTGTCCAGCACCTAGTTTTACTATTGGGACGTCTTGTACCCAAAAGTTTGTGTAAAGGTCCTGGAACATACTCTGAGGGCTTGGTCCATGCCTGCATGAACTCCCTGTGCCCCAGGAGCCTGGAGGCTTTTCGTTTGCTCTACGGTCATGCCACAGGCTGAAGACAGAGGTATATTTCTACAAACGCTTATGTTGTTTTGGACATTTTTATACTTAAGGTTTCCTTTTATGGCACAAAAGGTCCACAGTACATTTTGTTGCTGAATATGTTCACTTCGATGTTTTCATGTGCTTCCAAGAGAAATACCACAGAATTTTCTTTCTTCTTGTTATTCTGAGTGAATACGGCATTTAAACTATGTTTAAACTGCTGAGTTTGCTTAGGAATCTTTCAAATCTTCATGGTTCAGAAAGATTCAAGTTTCTAGTCTCTATTTATGCTGAATTTGAATTCATGTAAAGCAATGTGCACAGAAATTATTTTTGACAGAATTAACTTGCTTTCTGTTTTTAAATATAGATTCCTGTGGACTAGTTCCTGTTATAAAATTATATGGAGTTTTCCAGTAATAAGAATTAAGTGCATGGCAGTAATTTAGGATAAAATTAGCAGATGTGGCAAACTGGTATTTATTCTTAATCCAGAGAAACATTAATTACCAATTACTGACTTAGCTTTTCTTTTAAAAAGCAAGGAGAAATGAAAATTAAAAAGACAGCTAATGTCTTGGGAAGTCTGGTATTCTTCCGGTAGGTTAAGTGTAGAATTTCTTCTGTTGCTGATGTATGCTCATACAAAGCAGTCTTTGTCTATTTTAAAGTAATATTTTCTTGATAAATAAGTGTACAGCACTTAATTGAGTTAAAATTGTGCTGTAATGGCTAAATTTGATTTCTTTAAGTCTGGTGCGGTTTTATTTGTTTGTGTAATGTGGCACTTGGACGTGGTCATCATGAAGTCGGTGGGCTTCTGCCTTCTGGCTTCCATGGAAGAGTGGCATGGAGGGAGTCTGAGTCAGGGGAGCAGGACTTAGGAGGTCTCAGCTAGGTGTTCTTTACTGGACCTTTAAAAAATAGTAGTGTATCTGAAATGAGTCATGTGTTTGTAGTGGTAAGTAGCCAGACTTTCTTCTTCATTCCATCTACCCAGTTTGATCTCTGTCTTCTGCTTGTCTTCAGGTTTCTGAGCAGGAGATGGATGAAGCTATTGCACGTACTACCCACAGAGAGAGCAAGGATGCCAGCTCCTCTCACGCCACAGGTAGTGTGTTCTCCCCTAGTATGTGTCCTCTTCCAGATGCAGCAGGTTTTAAGGACATGCTTTTGGTTTCCCCAGTATCAATATTCTGGGGGCCTTCAAAACAGCAGAAGAATTTAGCAGGTCACTGTGTCCACTGCAGAAATTTTGGCAAAGACATCCGGTTCAGTTGGATCAACTCTGTAGCTTATGTTGCTTGCTGTATTTCCTTAGGCTGCCACAACCTGAAAGTAGAATTGCCAAGAGGGGGTTGCTCTATTCTCTCTTCAAGGTGAATGGGAAGCACAGTGTCCCAGTAGGGAA